TGAAGAATCCTACATTCAGCCTTTAAGCATTCTGCATTTCTTTGCCAATCTTGTAGCTGAGTATCTTGTTCCAGTCGATTTTGGTGCGGGTAACTGGAAGCTGCCGGCGCAAAGCCTTGAATGTGGTATCTGACATTGTTTGATAGTTTTCACTAATTGCTGTCTGATACTCATTTTCTACATTCTCTATGATTTTAATAAACTCCTTGGCAGTTTGAACTTCACTTGAAACAGTTATTGAATCCTGCACATCTTTATGACTAACCAACTGAACATTGCCATCTTCATAATAGTGAACCTGAATCTTAAGCACTCCAACCACTTGGGCTGTAGGTGGTGTGACAGTGAACTTCCACTCTGATCTCCAACGACCATTCCAGAAGTTTTTAGGTTGAAACTGGTGGCTTTCAATACATGCAATAATAGTCTGTTGCCCATCTATAGTTTTAGCATAAACAGTACAGAAGCCATTGGAATAATGATCTTTCACATAGGCTCTTAAAGCACTATCACAGGATTCTCTCCAAGACTTCAGACCTCCATCTATTTCTTCTGGCTGGGGGTCACTTGCTTCTTTCCGTAAGTGATCAAACTTAAAGGAAATTTTGTTTCTTGGATCTAAAAATCTGCTATTACCCAGGTCACCGTGTTCTGTAATTAAGACCTGATCTTCATATCCTTCTATCTTCACAGGTGTGAACTGGTCCATGTTATACTGGGCAAATGCATGTGCTGCCCCTTCCCTGAGGAGATTGTCATTATTAAGTAGTAGCCGAACATCATTGAATACTTCATTAAATTCCCCTGGGGGTGCATGAGTGATGAATTTAGCAGCTATGCGTTGCGTACCTTCTCCTCATCCGACACCCGATCCTCGAAGTCGGCCATCTTGGCTGCTCTGGCCCAGCCCGGCCGCGGGGCGCAAGGCAGCCAGAACATTTTTTCATGTTGTACTTCACATCTTGGCCAGGGATATGTTATTTGTGGTGATGCAGCTCTAAAAGCATGATTTGGAAGAATCACTTGGTTTATTTCCCCATAATAGATTTTTAAGAAAATACATGGACTACCAAAACTGAAGTACATTGTATTCTCTGATGGGAGGTATTTTAAATGTAGCCCAGGTTCATTATAGATACTATATCCTACTACATAGAATTGTTACTGGCTTAATTCCTAGAAATTAGTAAGCATACTCAACTTATTCTAGGGTGCGCAGGGTACCAAACAAGCATGATTTTAGGATGAAATAATATAATCTTTGTGCATATGTAAAACAGAGGGAATATGATAACAATTCCTCTATTAAGATCTAAGGGCAAGACATCTGATTATTTGAGTCTGGTTGTGGCACAACTCTTAGTCATTTTTTAACCTCATGTTTCTTTATCCTATATTAATTTTACATAATACTAAAGCATTAAGGAATGAATAAATAACCTCTATAAGGCCTTACATGGTGGCTCATGCCTGTAATCCCAGTACTCTGGGAGGCTGAGGCAGGTAGATCTCCTGAGCTCACTGGTTTGAGATTGGCCTGAGCAAGAGTAAGACCCCATCTCTATAGCCAGGCATTGCCAAGTGTGGGGGCTCGTGACTGTAATCATAGCACTAAGGAGGCCGAGGAGGGTGGGTTGCCTGAGCTCATAGGTTTAAGACCAGCCTGAGCCAGAGCAAGACCTTGTCTCTAAAAAAAAAAAAAAAAAGCCAGGCATTGTAGGGGCGGGGTTGGGGGAGG